TGTTCAGGGCGCAGTCGTCGGCGAAGAGGAGTTCGTGCACGGTGGTTGTGGATACGCGCGATTTGAAGTGCATCCGCCGTTGATTCAGGAGGTGACCGTCCGTCCTGTAGGCGATGCGGATCCCGGGGCGTTCGTCGCGGTACTACTACTACTACTAATACGACGACTACTACTACCACTACCATTACTACTACTAATACCATTACTACTACTGTTTAGTATGTGGCATCTAGATCGATATGCTGGTTGATTCATGCCCCATCTGAGTGCATTGTCTCCAGGAATTCTCTGTCCATCCTTATTGGGTAGGCGCCAACGATGAGAGTGTTCTCCCATGCGAATTTATGCCCATTGTTCAGAGTGTGCATGGCCGCCTGGGATAGATGGTCGCATCTCCTTACCGCTGACTGGTGTTCATGTATACGAGTCGAGACAAACTTCCCAGTCTGACCACAATGCTACGGCCGCTCGGGCACCAGGACCAACCACCTGACGAACTAGTCGGAAGACAATTTTCGAGAAATACCAAATACACGTAGCAAACCAGCCGGCAATTACCGCACGCACACAGCTTTTACACCCTAAGGACAAGGTTGGCTACCTCGAAAGTTACGGTGTTATCTAAAAAACCCCATGTCCTAGTTGTTTTGCCATCTGTTGTGGCCAAACTGAGAAATCTGTCTCAACCCGTATACATGAACATCAATAAGCGGTGAAGAGACGCGAACATCTTTCCCTGGTGGCCATGCATACACTGGACACTGAGCACAAATTTGCATGGGAGAACACTCGCATCGTTTGTGCCTACCCAATAAGGAGGGTCCAAGAATTCCTGGAGGCAATGCACTCAGCTGGGCATGCATCAACCCACATATCGATGTAAATGCAACATATGAAATCGTTAAGGTCAGATTCAAGCTGGCCCAACTAATCCTGAGAAGATGACTTTAGCCAATCATAGAACCCTTTGTCAGACTCGGTTTAGAAGTTAATTATTTTTGCACGCTCGTTTTCTGAAGACGAGCTGGAGAACCAACCTTAAAAATTTACAATAAAATTTACTGTTTCCCGAAGAATTCCATCTTCCTTAAGGCACAACGGAACGAGTGAGTTCTGTATGAACGATCGGTGAGCGCCCCCTACCATTGTATATTCCCGATCGAAAACCGACAAGGCAACGGACTCGTGGCCCGGTGGATAGAGGCGTGGAATTCTAAACCAACAGGTCGCGAGTTCGAGGCTCGGGTGTCCCACACTTCGGGCTTGGGTATGGCTGGCTGACGACGGCTAATAAGCCAGAAATGGCCATTCCAGTCTCCCTTGTCTTTGTCGGCAATGTCATTCTGCCTATGTATCATGCGCGGCTGTGCGGCTGCTGGTTGGGCTCGAGAGAGAGAGCCCTTAAGGCACAACGGAACGAGTGAGTTCTGTATGAACGATCGGTGAATAATTTCAGAAATTAATCAGTGCAGGACTTGGAGTTAAATCTCCGGGACATGACTTTTTAGGGTAAGAACCGAAATTTCAATGAACATTTGAGTCGAAGCTGGGGGTCCCACTGAAGAGCCGAACCCCTCGCAGCTGTGTCACGCAGCGGCAGAATATCGGCTAAACACGTGTCTGGGCTTTTAGCAACGATCTATGTCGGGAGTACGGTATAATACATTATATATATATATATATATATATATGTATATGCAGGCTTTTATTACCGACAAAGAAAAGGGAAACTACAATGGCGATTTCTGGCTTATTAGCCGTCGTCGTTCAGTCATACTAACCCCGAAGTGTGAGGCATCCGTTACTCGATCTCGCGACCTGTTTGTTAGAAGTCAAACGCCTCTAAACACTAAGCCACGGACTCGTTGTCCTGTCGGTTGCGTTCGGAAATGTACAAAGGCGCTCACCCATCATTTTTACGGAACTCACTCCTCACGGTGTGTCTTACGGACTCTCACTCAAACCTAACCAGCAGCCGCCCAGCGGCGCATGATATAGGCGGGCTGACCAGTCATTGTTGTGAGAGATGCTTACGGCCTCGCAGGTGCTTCTGCGAGCTAAACTTCCGTCACGTTGGCGAGCAGTCACGCGGAGCTGACGTCCGACGCCCAGGGAAAATAGGGGCCGCCCGTTATCTCGCTGATCGAGAATGCATATGTAACCGTGAACTACTTAAAACGGATTCAAAGTTGATTACTATAGTGTGTTGGTCGGGTCGCAATGAACTCCTACATGCCTGTAACCCACATTTGACGACAGATGCAGGTCACTGTGTCCGGTGTCACGGCCAGCCGGCAGACGAAAATGGACAGGCCATTGGCACAAGCTAGAGGCGAGCGAGAGAGAGAGAGAGGCCCATTCAACTCGGATCCAGAGCTCAATTTCCACAATGCAATAAAACCAAACACTTTTTCAACTGAAAAGTCAAGTTGGCGAACGCACGTTTTCGGTAATTCTTCCTCAGGCCAATACAATTACATGAACGAATGAAAATGTACAAAATCAACAGTGTTTATAGATGCCTCAAGGGCTATTAAGTCACTAACACTCATCATCCCCACGCCGCCCGCATGAGAAGGTCGGCGGGTGTTAGTCGTCAGAGCTAGGGGAGGGGGGTAAGAGAGTCTTTGAGTAATTATCTTGGGTTGAGTACACGGAGTACCCATCATCGTGATTAGGGATTTGAGGCGGCATGGCTTCATCACTTGGGGTTGGCGTTGGCCACGGCAGCGAAAGCGCTTGTGTCAGAGTTTTCTGACAGCATAACACCGGATTTTACTAACCGTATAGCTACTGCCTCTGCCGTTGCTAGTATCCGTTGGCGTAGGCCTTTAGAGAAGCATGTTGGTGTCCAGTCTACAGTGATGAAGCCATGCCGCCTCAAATCCCTAATCACGATGATGGGTACTCCGTGTACTCAACCCAAGATAATTACTCAAAGACTCTCTTACCCCCCTCCCCTAGCTCTGACGACTAACACCCGCCGACCTTCTCATGCGGGCGGCGTGGGGATGATGAGTGTTAGTGACTTAATAGCCCTTGAGGCATCTATAAACACTGTTGATTTTGTACATTTTCATTCGTTCATGTAATTGTATTGGCCTGAGGAAGAATTACCGAAAACGTGCGTTCGCCAACTTGACTTTTCAATTGTAACATGGGAATATTTGCGGAACTTTTTCAACTATTAAGACCCACACCAGTAGTCTTGCCTTGAAGGCTTGCCGTGCTATCTCATGAAATGTCAACCGGAATGCAGAAATGCGTTTTTGACTTGAAAAGATTATTAAAGTAGGGTTGTGAAACAAATTATCGTGCAGCAGGAGGGGGCGGGGGGGAGGAGCGCTTACATGTAGCTTGGGACGGAGAAGACTCCCCAGTGGATGAAGATGCCCACTTTGGCTTCATCAAACCAGGCAGGTAAGGGGCGACTGTCCAGAGACTCCCAGTCTGGCGTATAGCGTTTGGTTGTCCCTGTTTCTCCCCATTTCTTTCCCAGAACTTGTCCGGCCAGCAGACCCAACAGACACAGCGTCGTCCAGCCTCTCGTCAACATCAGACGTGAGGAATGAACCATCGGTTGATGCGTCTGGCCGCAAACGAGCCAGGGTTGCCTTGTAAACAAAGCCAGCTGCAGGCGACACCACGCAGCCAATAGTAGAAGAGCATGACTTCCAGCAGTGAGGACGCACGAGTTTTGGTTATAAACAGTGCGCTGGACTGTGCGAACCGCGCAGAGTTGTACCAGGCTATCGGCACCGCAAAGGAACCACTTCCGACAGTTTCGCCCTCGTTCTAATTACCTCGTCCAAGAGGCATCAACGATAACCTGGAGGACAATAACAAATACTCAGAGCATGATTTAATCAAGTGTTTGTTGACTTGATGGATGTGCTTGTGGACCCGAATACTGCTATGATTGCAAATCAGGACGCAGGTGGATTCAGAAGAGACCAGTCGGTGCACATATCCCTCGAGTGTATGGCCTACCGAAGATCCACAAGGAGGGCTTGCTTGTGCCTCGGGTTGTGGACATGGGAAGCTCTCTAAATCATGCAGCAGCGAAATGGTTAGTAGAGAAACTGAAGCCCGTACAGTATCAGCTAGCATTACGCAGCGATCGGGATACCTTTGCTGAAGGTGCGATGGTCGACAGCTTAAAGGTTCTCAATTCAGAAAGGAGGGAAGACAGTTGAACTGGCGAGACTTTACTCAGACAGAGAGTTCACAAGCAACACTGCGGGCAGCTGCAGCTAGCGTTCACGTCAGGCAAGGATGTGTGGCGCAGCAGTAGCAGCAGCAGCAGCAGCAGCAGCAGCAGCAGCAGCAGCAGCAGCAGCAGCAGCAGCAGCAGCAGCAGCAGCAGCAGCAGCAGCAGCAGCAGCAGCAGCAGCAGCAGCAGCAGCAGCAGTAGCAGCTGCAGCAGCAGCAGCAACAGCAGCAACAGCAGCAGCAGCAGCAGCAGCAGTCATCAGATTACACAAGCGCCGAGTTTACAATGGACTGTTCTTCACGCCCTCTCCTTCCCCTCTCCCCACTAGCACGGAATTTTACTCCCTTTCCCCTGCAGTTTGAAAATACGGCCTTTAACCGATTGCACTTACCACTGTCAGGCTTTACTTAACCCAGTTTGCATACAAGTTTACTGGCTTGACGAGGATTTATCGAAAACAAATGCATGCTCCCAAACTAGTCTTATGGTTCCTCATGCTGCAATGCTGGAGCCTTGATCAGATGAGCAGAGAGCATTCTACTGCCGCATTCCTTTGTGCGCTTCTGAGGTACAGATGCGTTTACTTCAACGAAAACAACGCTTCCTAAGCCAGTGCGAGAATATTCCGTTGCAGTGACTGCCCAAAGTGCGCACAATTAGGAGGGTTAGACTCATCATTTTAAATTACACATCTTTCTTTGAGTCATGGCCGAAGGCTTAATGACCCAGTAGTCTGTTATTTAGGCGTGGAAATAGGTTTGCGAGACCATACTGGCGCTGAAAACGTGATCCACACTCTGGTGTTTGTGGTGGTTGCGGCTGGCGCAAGAGCTTTGGCCATTTCAGTGGTGGCCTTCACAAAATTAACGATTTGAATCGAAGGACGGCGATACGTCGCTCTTCTACCCCTCTTGTCTCGACTGTTATCTTGAAAAAATCTCTTTCTATAACAACATTTGGAGCGTTTTAAAAAAGAGCTTGAGTCATGGTTCACGGGACCTCAGTCTATCAACAAGTGCAACTACATCCTCACTCCATTTTCTGTCCTGAGGCATAGACTGGCCAAAGCAATTGACCACTCGAGGAGTGCGCAAGCACATGAGCCAGATGGCCGGGCAATCATCACGCCAGCATCCAACACGGGTGATGAGATGTCAGCAATTAACAACTTGCATGCCGGCCATCAAACAATTAGCGCACCAGCGGGCAACAATCCTTGATGAAGGGAGCACGGTTAATTGCTGTAGGTATGCGGTAGCATGGCGACCGCATCCTACAAATACTGCGACTTCCTGTACACTAGCCACCCTTTTCTGCAACTGTCTCTGATGATGGATTCAAGAGAGAATCCGAAACGTCAGGCGAATAAAGCCATTGTTCCAGCGATCGCTTCTTCTTCTGATCAACTAGTTCCTGGAACTCGCATCTTCGCTTGTATCGGCAAGGTTTCATTCTATTGACGCTTCGGACTCACCGTCGAGCCCGTCCTCATCAGAGATAGGGAGATAGAGCAAGTAGAGTATTTGTTGGATCCGAAGTGTAGAACACAGGGGATGACTCGGGTTCCATCTGCTTGGGAGTGCCATAGAGATCACATTCAGAATGGACCATTGGGCTTGACTCTCCGGCCGAGTTATTTTATCAGCTGGAAGTCCTCCAGGCTACGACTTTTAGCGTGTCGTGATACATTCACGCCTGTCGCATGTTTCATAATGATGGATGTGCTGAAGTGCTGTGAGGTGAAGGCCCCAGAGCCGACCTAACTCTCCCCCCTTCATATGCACCAATCCCCTGTACGAACCAACCAGTCACCTGGTGTTGTGACTGGACTCAGTGGCTGGCGTGGCGTAAACCTGCGCATAGGCGTGCTAACAGACTCTCCATGCGTGGAACTTGTTGTGGAATGCCGCGTCGGTCCAGCGCATCTCCTGGGGGACACGTAATTTCTGGCAAAGAATAGTATTCACACTAGCTCTCTCTCTCTCTGCCTGCCCTTCACTTTGCTTTGTTGAATGCCGATGGTTGACAGTAGCAGATTCCAAAATGACGGGGACAGGATTAGTTGGACGAGTCTATCCCGAAAGGACAAAACCATTCGATAGAAAGTCGTGCGTGGTTTTTTAGCTCACTGGCTGATCAGACCTACAGTCGACTAGTTGTCGTGCTCTGTCAGACTGACAGGCAGGTATGGGAGCCACGTTCAGGGGTTGGCTGCGGGTGCTATGGACACTGACTAGGGTTGATTCGAGCCAGTGCGACCAGAACAAAAGTAGGTGATCGTTGTTGTCGGGTGTCAGCACATCCAAGACAAGCGCGTTTGCAGGTGTGCCGGTCAGCCGACCTCTTGCCACAAACCCTACACTGACAGGGTATTTCGGAGAGAATTGTTGAAATCAGCTGGGCTAGTTGTTGCAGTTTAGGCGGGCAAAGGCTGCTGCTGTGCGTTCTAGTGATGATGGAGTTTTATTCAAACAGACTGACGAAAACGGGAGTTAAACCGTCTAGAAACTGTATGCCTTAGGACGGAGCGGAACTACTAATACTTGAATCCACAAGAATATCACACTATCAAGCTTCTGCAGATACGTCGGCGATCTGGACAACGATCTCCCTCTCTTATCCACTCCAGAAACTAACCGTTCGTTTTCTGTAATGTGTAGAAAAGTCACTAGACCAAACCGTCAGGTTATATATGGGCTTCGGAAAATAAAATGATTGATCTTATGATCTAATTCGGCTATTCTCGATACAGATGCTGTTTCTGTGGGCAATACTACTACTACTACTACTACTACTACTACTACTACTACTACTACTACTACTACTACTACTACTACTACTACTACTACTACTACTACTACTACTACTACTACTACTACTACTACTACAAACGCTATAACTACTAGTGCCACCAGCATTGCCGCCAAGAACGTAATTATCC